ATACACTCTCCTGCACGCACCTGCCTAAAGGCAATGGTCCTGTCCTAATGTTAGTAATCTCATTCAGGGGAGGTTAATCACCTACATCTCTCCTTATAAATGTGGTCATTTATTCTCCTCTCTCTTTCTCTCCCTCCCGCTCTGGTCTGATTGTATTCATCTTCTAACTCAGCTTTTCTTCGTCTGGTACTGCATCCTTACAATTCTTGGACAAACACAAGACTGAGTGCAGTTCAGCCTCTGTAGCCCCTCGCTGTTTTACTCATAGAGAATAGCAGGATAAATAAAACAGATGAATACTGGATTATAAGAGTGATTCTCATGGCTTCTGAAGAATGGGTTGTGATAAAACACGACATAGATTGTTCACCCTATAATACAACTGTGTCATCAGTGCGTACAGTATAAATCTCTTCTGATGATGATTTCATACCACCTTAACCAGGGACGTTCCTGATTTGCTATTTAACAAATTTCATTCATTTTATAAGGAATTTTCTCATTACATCTCACCTCATTACAACTTAATATGGTGATAGAAGCACAGTGTGGTGCTACGTACTGTTTTACCACCTGTTAGTTGCTGAGGACGTCTCCCTCCAAGCAGCGCAGAGACGTTTATAGCGATACGCTGTGCAGTGAATGCGATAAAGAAGCTTGTATCTGGGTTCAAGGTGCTGAGAAGGCTGGCGTGCAAGCTAAAGATTCTGTGTGTGGGATTTGCGTGAGCATATACACGATAGTGGAAGGAAATATGTGGCCGACCACCAGCTTGCGTGCAGTGTGACTGCTTTGTGAACGGTGCGAGTGACCATGAATGTCAGTGTGAGTGTGCCTGTGAGCCGGAGCATGTGTTCGCATGTATGAGAGAGAGTGCATGACTGTTCCCATTCCTTTCATATGAGCCTCATGTAATGCAAGATGCCCTTATGTCCGCGTGTGCATGTATGTGCGTATGCATGCGTGCAGTTTCCTTAGTGCATTTCTGATTTTGTGAGAGCGAACATGCATGCTTGTGTGTGTGTCGAAGGCCATCTGTCGGTCAAGCACACAGGACGCATTGTCTGCTCCGCGCCCAGGTTAGGCCGACTCCAGCAGAGACCGGAGACGTCACTGGACCACATCAACGTCTGGGTCCACAATAACATGCGAGAAAGAGGAGAGTGATAATAAACCAAGGAGTGTCTCAGTAGAAACTAAAACAAGTTTATTTGTATAGCCTTTCATCACAATCACAGTCTCGGTGGGTTTCACAGACTGGAAACAAAAACAGCTTCTCGAGTGAACAAGAAAAACTTCCCCTAAAGAAAAAAAGTAATAATGGCAGCTATAATTAGATAGTGTGATGGAGCACAGATATAAAATCTGAGCAGAAACAGTTTGTTTATTAATCAACTAGTCGGTTGACGAAGCGTCAAATATTTTGATAATCTTTTAAACTTTATTCGTGTATATTCACCTGAAGAGTTTGTTTTCATTAGCTTAGAGTGAGCCCTTCATATCTACACAGGGAGCAGGTCTTCTTCACCGTGTTGCACTGCCACGTTTGATTTAAATAAGATTTTTGCGAGTCTTGTCTATTAGATTCTTTGTTGGTCATGGTAAGTGCGAGCACACACAGAGTACGTTAGTGTCGGAATCAGTGGTGGTGGTGTAGGGGGAAGGAGGGGGAAGGGTGCAGTAATAAATGAAGGAATGTCACCGTGTTATTGCATGTGCTGTCAGAGAGAGAGAGGCCCAGCGAGAGGAAACCGAGTAAAAAAGAAAGAAAAGGGGGTAAGGAGAGGTGCACCAGGCAGCTGCTCTGCCCCAGGGCTCTCCCCAGGAATGTAACCCAGGGCAGGGAACAGCTGCCGGGGCTACGCAGGTCAGAAGGGCAGCGCTGGCACCAGAGGGCACACATACTGTACACACTTGTGCACACTCCCACTTTCATGAAGACAGGCACACACGTATCCTTGTTCCCATGTGGGTAGACGATAGGAGAGCATGTAACACTTACCTTGTACCCCCGTGTCTGATTTGGGATTTCTGCAGCGTTTCCAGAGCAAACGGAGGCAGAGAATATAAGGATGAAGGAAGTTTTTAAATTTGGACAAAAGAGGAACTAGAAAGCCCTTCTGAGACCAATTAACTTCATGTGTATTTAGGAGGTTACGGAGGTAATGTGAGGATCTAAATGTGGCTGTTCTAAATGGAGCATTGCTCAATCTCCACTCTCATGCTGCATAAACAGATTGGGCAGCGCGACATTTCTGGCACAAAGAAAACAAAGCAGAAAGCTCCCATTAAAGCGTGTGAGCACTGTCGCAGGTAGATCCATTTGGCTCCTTTCTTAGAGTGCTGCCTCACAATGAGTCTCTGTACAAGCGCTGTAGAAATGCCCAAAGCTTGAGCTTGAGAATCAATCACCCACGCTTGGTCACTGTACTCTCCAAAGGACTAGTTTATTTTCCTGAGTGTGTGTGGACATAGTTATGGAGGAGTTATAGAAACAGCCAAAGGAATCCGGCTTTAAAGTAGTGACAGTGCTTTAAAATATTCTTCATCTTCATTTTTCTCATCGCTCTTCCGTCTCTTTTATCGTCCTCTGTCGGCCTCCTCCACAAGTCCGTATCCACGTACACATGCACTGTGTACCCACACACAGACGCGCACGCACACGCACGTACGTGCACGCCCATAGCAGATGATGAATGATGATGGCTGAGGCACGGACAGAGCCAGTCTCTGATCTCTCCTGTAACCGCGGCAACAGAGCTCCTATTGATCCTCTGGGAGAAAGGCCAGGCATTAGCTTCCAAACACACACACACACACACAGATACACACATACAGTAACAAAAACACACACACACACACCGAGGACATACGCATGCACATTGTCAGACAATTGAATAGAACTTTTAAACATGAACTTTACATCGAGATGGTTTCCTTTCTAAAACAAAGTTCACGTCCGTTATTCCTCCGATTCTGGATGAATCTGTTCGCTGTCAGCGGAGCAGCTTCCAGCTTTGTCGGATGAGCCGTTTGTCTTCTGTTACTGGCATCGGGGGAGACCTGCTCACAGTATTGTGTGAGTGCACTGGCCAAAAACATAACAATGAAATAAACATGCATAGATCTTTGCCATCATCTACTTTTTTTATGATTTTTTTTCATTCGTGGTATAAATTATGTTTTACAGTCGTTTATCCCTCATTGTCTCATATAGGAGTCTATGCACGTCGGTCAGCTTTGAATGAACAACACACACTCTGAAATTACAAACACCGGTGACCTTACATAGCTTCAGATATAACACCATGGTCATGATGAAAGGGGCAAGTGCAATTGTTTTCAGGTATGTCTTTACTTTGAAGTGGCAATTGTGGGATTTCACTTTTTTTAGATGCCTATAATATTCTTTTTTCTTGGTTCTGTGCCGGTCCATGTTGACACCATTGTGCTTCCATTTTTGTCTCTAAAATATAACATGTTCTATATCAAGGCCGGATTTCAAATAATGAAATGAATGTTAACAGTCGTGGTATGTTGCCTTCTGTTTTGGCTTCAGGTCAAACATCGCTGGTGTGAGCTGGTGGTCAGACATGCGTACACTCGGGCTTACGGAGACGTGGAAACCTTCCTGGTTCACGACCAAGTAAATAGACACAACTGTTGAACATTAATCCCGTTTGATGCGATGAAACACTTTTACACGGAGAGAAAATAAATGAATAAAGTAATTGATTATGTGTGTGTGTGTGTGTGTGTGTGTGTGTGTGTGTGTGTGTGTGTGTGTGTGTGTGTGTTTTAGGCGATGGGTGTGTATCTGTACGGGGAGCTGATGGTGCAGGAGGACCCTGAGCAGCAGGCTCTGGCCCGTCGTTGCCTCTCATTGGTCCAGGAAGAAATTGACCAATCGGCACGCAGAGTGGTGGAGGAGATGGTTCTCTGACATTCAAGGTAAAGTCTCACTCTCCGTTTCTCATCACCTTTGTGTCGAACATGCTGCTCGTCGTGCCATTTTGTGTCCTTGATAGTATTCTTAAAGTTAAACTGAGAAGCAAAATGCAAATCTTCATCTTCTTCTTTTGCACTTTTGTTTCTTTCAACCCCCACAGTCAATTAGTGGAATTCTACTTTCATCATAATTTACTCGAAGAGGTCCACAAGCTGAACCGGAAAAGTACAAATACATTTGTGTAGCTTTCTTTGTGAATGTCAGGCTAGTTTTGTGTATTCCTCCATTCTACACATAGAAAGAGAATATTCCTCTCTCATATCTGACCTTCAGTCAGAAGTGAGGTGGAGGTGGCGACCGTAAGAAAATCTTTGTGTTGGATTGATCCTGATTCCATCTGCCCCAGCGGACAGTCCACACTTTAATCACTTGGCTACCTATTCTTCACATTCCTCTCTGATCCCACTGAGTGTGTGTGTGTGTGTGTGTGTGTGTGTGTGTGTCAGTGTGTATAAGCACGTGTGTGTTTGTAGACTTGGATTGGGGCCTTTCCGTGGTTTCACAGCAGCACCATCAGATGTGTTTGTCAGAGAAGGAATTCGGGAATGTGCTCCTCAAACAAACGAGAGAGGGAAGAAAGAAAAAGCGAGATGACGGGTCAGCGAGCGTTTTCTGAAGGGCTCAGGGCGGTCTCTACTCGATGTGGGATGAGTTTTACACTGACCATGAAATTCCTCCAGAACAGCAACTATCACTCATTGAGCTTTTTTGATGATTCAGAACAGTGAGGGGTTTACTGGTCTCACACCAAATGAAGTGCAGAGAGAAATTTATGCTTTAGACGGACAGACAGAAAGAAATGGGAGGAAGAAAGAGTGCCGAAGGGAGGACCGTAGTGAAGACAGGTCTCTTTGAAGCTGCTGCTCTTTTCATAACAGTCCTGCTATTACTGACACTAATCTTTAAATAATGAGAGCAGGCAGTTAATCACATCTTTGCTCCACAATTGAACTGTAGTAACCCAGCTGTTCCTCAAAGCTTTTAAACAATACAGTAGTATTGCTGCATCGACCAAACAGAAATACAACAACAAGAGAGAAGAAATCCTCACATTTGAGAAGCTGAAACAAGCAAATGTTTGCTTTAAACATAAATCCAGAAATCGCTCAATGTGAAACAACCAGAGTGGTTATAAGTTTGGCAGAACATCGAGAAGCTGGGTTTTAGTTTAGACGACTGCATCTAACTTTACATGAATTCTAAGAAAGAAGACACAAAAGTAAGAACATAGTCGCACTGTTACTTAGTGAAACGGTTCGCACCGTGCAGGGTCGTTACAACGTAGAGTTGACATTTACACTGGTGTACAGCATTTCCTATTGAGTGTGTCAGAAAGATAATGGGTAAGAACAATGTTCGAAGGGGCTTCAATGTATCCCGAACATCGTGACTGACTCCATCCCCCACATTTATGATGGCACTGACACATCTAGCAAACTCCCGAAACAGCAAGTATAGGGTTAAACACTGTGTCTGTGACCTTCTGCGACACAGGCTTCGTCAAAAGGAGCTGCTAAATACTTGTCACGTCACCCTGAGTGATTTACAGCACTAAATCCTTTTTTAGGCCGTGACCAAGCCACTACAAGACAGGCTTTTATCTTCAGACACACACACACACACACACACACACACACACACACACACACACACACGCAAACGGACAGCTTTATGCATTTGAGCAGGATGTGAAAGGCTTTCTAGACAAGTGCTCGGCATCTGGCTCGGTCCTGATAAATCTCTCTGACACACACACACACACACACACGGACAGCACACACATATGTAGCGCCTATCTGTCTGTGCCCGCAGATCTTTTGTCATCATCCTTCACTCCCTCTCTACACCTCCCTGTGGAGCCTCACTACAAGTTCAGGAGGACTGAAACGGACGAGCTAGAACACCTATAAAAAAAAAAAAGAATAGAAGAAGAAAAGGAGCATTTAGAGATTTATATCCTATAACTTTTACTGTTCTATCCCGTTGGACTGAACCAAACAAGCCCCTGTAAACATCAATGGATCATGCTGGTCAACTGAGCTCAGGTCCAGATTTCTCTCCAATTAAAATGATGGATGAACCAACCTCCTCGCTGCTTTTTCATATTGCACTGCGGGGAGATGGATTGATGTTTTACTGCTCACTTTGTGTGCCCCAACCATCTTTTCTTAAGTGGAACAGTCCTCCCTGTACCCTTTACACCCTCTCACACACACACACACACACACTCACACACACACACGGTACAGTGGGATTAGGCAGAGGCGGGCTGAGAGGGTTTTAACTGAAAACATGTCTGTCAAGGTGCACTCCCTGCTCTGTGTTTTTAAACCTAAAAAGCACAACCCTTTAAAGGAGAAGGGTGGTCTCCCCCTGTCCTTTTTTCCCCTTTCCCCCTCCCTCTCACTCCCCCGTTCTTTTCTTCCCCCCGGTACATGCCTCTGGAATCCTTCTTGATCCGCTTAATGAGGGGCATATCGCCGGGTTAGCCGAGCGTGGCAAATGGGAGAGGAGGAGAGGGGTAACCAAGGAGCGAGAGAGAGAGACTGAGTATCAACAAGTCTGGTCTTTCACGACTGCGCTCTGATGGCAGACGTAAGGGAGAAAGAGAAAGGACAAACAAAGTTAGAGGTTTTCACCTCTAGGTATCGCAGGTTAGAGCTGGACTTGAGGATGTAGTCGCAGCAAGAAAACACGAGACAGAGAAAAGATCTTGTTCCTTCATGTCTGGGCTGTGAGGGTTCCTGGCGTGCTGATTTGTGACTTATGATAAAATCACATTGCCAGGGATTACCACACAGCCCTGACCCAACCGGCTGCCGTGGCAACCACAGCCTCTCCTACACACACACACAGACACACACTCATTTGTCCCCCAGAAACTTAAAACTAAAGAAGACATGATTACCTCAGAGTGGGTGTGATTGTGTTTGAGGAGTTGATGATTTGGAAGCGCAGAGAAGGAAACGGATGATGGTGGAGCCAGAGGGTCTTGAAGTGTGTGTGTGTGTGTGTGTGTGTGTACACGTGTGTGTGTACGTGTCAGTCCTCCAGACAGGTTTTTTTATCCTCTCTCCAGCCAGACACAGAGCTTAGCTGATTGGTGAACAGTGATTGATTCCCTCTTTGTTCACAGTGGCTAAGTTCTGCACCTGAGGAGAGCTTGACCCAGACAAGCAGACAAAGGAAGACAACGGATGTGTGGGACAGAAAGAGAAAACAGAAATGCTCTTTTAAGTTTTTACGGTGTGTGTGTGTGTGTGTGTGTGTGGGTGTGTTTGCGCTTTCGCGTGAACACACTTGAGTTTGATTATCTAATGTGTGTTTGTACATTTCAGTCACAGAACTCCTTCCCCTTTGTCCTCTTCTGTTTTCTCGCTCCTTACTTTGATTGACTTGCATCGTTTCACCTTCCCCCCCTTTCTCTTATCTCATTTCACTGTCTCCTTATCTTGCATTTCCAATTCAATTTAGTCTAACCTCAGTCGAAATATCTCTCCTCTCTTCCTCGCCTCACTTGCATGTCTGTGAAGCTTTTCCGCTGAGGCCCTCTCACTCAGAAGAATCAAACACACGAGCCTCGTCACACAATGTGCAACATTGCTAATGAGCGCCGCTCTACGCTCTCCTGCATTGCCCGTGGTTCTTTCCCTCCTCTTTCATCTTCTTCTCTCGCTCCGCCCTTCTGCTTCCGTCTCCTTTCAGTTCCGTAGTATAAAAGATAATCTTGCAGATGATGCCGGTTTTGCACGGTTTTGTAGTTTTTTTAGCAAAAAGGTGAGAGCCGAGCACCTCAGGAGAGAGACTGCACTTCCAGTACTAATGAGACCTGGGAAGACCCAAAACGCTGCCCAATGCTGCTGACAGATATTACATCAGTCCGGGAGCAGTGGCTACAATTATCACCCTCGTAATCATCGTTGTCCTTCATCGCCACCATTCTGTCTTTCTTACAGCCGGCACTCATTGTGTCCCAAAGTCATACTACGTACACATTCTATTTTCAGGCATACAATGTGGATCATTTTATTTGATGCATGTCAGGTATGAAGACGTACAGATAACACAATTAATCTTTTCCTTTAGTCTCACACCTATGAACATGGAACTTGACAGCCTGCCTTGTAAGCCTTGTTGGGGAACATCATTTAGTCCATTTAAATGTCTATATATTTTTGCACTATTAAGTACTTTTTAGTATGACCTTAAAAATGGTCAATTTGAGAAGGAGGCAGTACGGGAAAAGTCATTTGAAAATCGGCAGGGATGTTTAGTTGCGGCTGCAGACATGATCGATAATCGACAATCTCAAGAAGGCTTATCTCCGTTTGAAGTTACAATTCGGCGTAATTTACTATATGAACATCATGCTGTGTTGAAGAAGACTCTAAACTAGCGATTGAGACCATAAACTAGGGTAGGGTCATTTTTTCAGACTTTCATACAATCGGACTTCTTTTTGCAAGCTGAGGAGTCGCCCCCTGCTGGGCAGTAGAGGGAGATTCCGCATTGGCTTCACTCGGCTGAAGCAGAGGTTGCCGCCTGGCAAAAAAAATCAAAGTGTGAAAACAACAAGTGGTGGTTTTAACAGAGGGAGCGTGGTGTACTATTTCTTGGCTGATTGCAGTGACTTCCTGTTATTGTTGTTCTGGTGTAAATTTCCCTAAAATGTCGAACTATTCCTTTAACTTTGGTTTAATTTAATTTACATACAGCAGGGTAATTAGTTAAACAGGTTGACGGGGCCTGCAGCAAATCAGTGCTCATCTTTGTGCTTCAGGCTTTAAGCTTCAAATCACGTTGGCAGTGAAAAGTGCCGTTCCGTGCGTCCCTGGCAGATACGTATTGATTTCTGAACTAATCTCAGACGGAGGAAACCAAGAGACAGAAAGCAGACGGTTTCTCACCGAACACCTTTCCACACTGGGAAGGAAAACAAGACTGAGGCTTCAAAGGATGGACATCTTGCAACGATTTTAGAGCTTTTCATGGTTTAGGGAGGTCAGTTCCACTTTATTGTGACAGTGAAGTGTTTCTGCAATGGATTTACTGTGCCATGTAGCTTCTATTGTGTTGTCTCAGAGAAGCAAGAGGTTGTGATCCTGTAAAAACACACAGTGACGACAAGAAAAGCAGGACTTGTCAATTGGGTTACAAGTAACACACGCTTTGTCTTAAAGAGTGCACTGAGAGAGGGTTCCCCAATTAGTCAAGATGAGCTTGAAACTCCAAAAAACGATTTATGCAGGTTTGTATTTAGGTTTGTATTTATCTCGATCTGTCTCAAGATTTTCTTTTTTGTTTTGAAGCCGTTATACAACAACCTCCATTTGCATGTTCCTACCAGAGAGAATACATCATGTAAGACTGCGTCTTTAAGTTTAAAATACTGCCCCACAGTAACTTACTGTATAACTTTTCTATTACATGGGTGTAGTCCACTGTTATATCAGCTAATTGTAATGCCAAGCCGTACCGTTCTGGACCGATCACTCCCCAATCAAAACAGTGACAGATGGCTGGAAATGTATTTTAAAACTGTCCGTCTTTTTTTGGCAGTCACGATACGAGGCGTGAGGAGGTATTATAGCGCTCTATATGCACACCGACAAAATGGCGACTAAACGAGGACAGATGTGTGAATTAGAAATGAGGGCCATGTGGAGTCTGCCATTTTTAGACCTATATTTAGGGCTTGTTAAAAGACTAATGACCATCAGAGGCCTGTAAAAGAGAGGAATTGCCATCAGAGCCTGTATCTAAAAGGTGATTTATTACACTCTAATGGGAGGGAAATGGTGCTCTGCACATAAAAGGACCAAGCAACATTGTATGAAGACACCAAAAATAAACTTATTTAGCCCACACCGTCTTTTCTCCACGCAGCTGAACTTGACTGATTGTCTCTTAAATGTCAATTATATTTTAGAGAGCTGTTGTATTCAATTTCAAGTATATGTTGGAAACTTTGTCATTTTTGATGCAGGTTGTATGCATGCTCCTCACAGAAGGTGCTGGAATGTGATTTTGATGGATTTATAGCTGGATTTTTATGATCGGACTCCTGAAATAGTCTAATAGCCTATTTTTTTAAGCCAACGATGTACCAATCATTTTGGATAGCTCCCACAATCCAGCAGAAGTCTTGCTGAGACTGCGGTGGAGAGGTTTCTACCGTGTCAAGCACACCTTTCACCAGCTAGTGAGATCCAACAACCTCAACAGTCTAGAGGAACCTCAAGTTGTGGGGTTTCTTGTGGGTTTGGCAAAGCGGAACGCCGCCTGAGTTGACGTTGCTTTTTGCTTCATTACAGACAAAAGAAAAAAAAGAGGAGAAAGTATGTGTTCATAGCTCGCCAGTGCTTTGTGAAACAGAGAGAAGAGATATTTGGGACTGGCTTCCTGTGCCTACTGAGCTGATTATCAGTCCTATACAGCCACTGGCTCAGTTCAGCAGGAACAGGAGTCCAGTCCACTCACCACCGAACCAGAAGAAAACACGAGCACTGGCTTGCATGGATTATACACCAAAGCCGCTGTTCTATTGGACGGTCAGTTGCTAGAAAATGATTTGGCAACCGCTTTGATAATCGACAAATCTTTGTGAAATGTTTGGGTTTTGTCTGTTGCTTGGATATCTTCGGGGTTTAACATTTCTCACTATTTTATAACATTTTGAAGCCTACACTATTAATTATTATTATTTTTTTTTTTTACAAATGAATAGATTAAAAATGTATTGTTACTTGCAGCCCTACTTTTGTATCAGCATTTATATCTGCAGATTAATAACAAAGAACTGCAGCAAAGATTTGTGTGCAGTGAGACGTTAGAAATAGCGTCTGCATTACATAGTTTGTCGACCAGAGGGTAAATATCCCGCTCAGTTCTTTTCTTTCATTTGATTTAAGAGATTCTTATCCTCAGCTATATTGGTCGATCTATTTTTAAACTCTGAAATATTGGCATCTGCCTCCGAAACCCAGTATCGGTCGAGATCTGTGTTTTCGGCCAAACTGGATGATTTGTCGATACTGAACACACACAAGTATCCAGTGTTTGCCTTTACATTAGGTAACCAAATGTTCTGTAATGTTCCAATCTGAACGTGTCCTTCTCTTCCAGTTTGCTGACCTCAGATGGAGGTGACAGGAGTTTGGCACACGGGGTCCAGTGCTCACCTCCTCTTCCCCTGCAAGAGATGGGAGGCTAAAGAATCACTCAGCAGTGTGAACACCAAAAGGACTTCGCTCTAACTCGACAGCCACGGCCAACTGGCAAGGTTTAGAGCACTTCTGTCCATTCGAGACTCAAGAGATAACTTGTGTGTGTGAACCACTAACGATACGAGCTGTTCCCAGTGAGATGCACCATTGTTTACATTGTTGGTGTGATGAAAGTGAAAAATCACACAATTGACATGTTTTAAAATGATAGATACTGGGAGATGTTTCATGGATGGAGACACATCCTTCCATGTTTAGGAGCCTGTGTATAAGTTAGACTCTTTGTGTGGGTGTGACTTCATGTCTGTTTAGTCTGAAGCCGTGATGTGGTTCTTAAGAGTTGGACAGGAAATGGTTTCATGTCATTCCCATTTTTATACATAACAAATGACTTCACTCTGACCAATAACGACCTCTCAGTGCATTTCTATAGGCATACATTATGGTTTGGTGACTGCTGTGCGAACAAATTCTAGGAGTAAACTTTTAAAAACTTTTTTTTTGTGTATTTTAAGTGACGTTTTTTGAAATGTTCATGTTGAAATAAAATTATGTTTTCCTAAAATAAATGCATTCCTTTTTCTTAAGCTTATCTGTTGAGCAAAACCTGAACATCAGTTCGCAACTCATTCCTTCTTTATATGCAAGATACGAGTATCATAGCCAGATTGATTTACAAATTGGATTTACTGAATTAAACACTGGCTGTGTAATATGTCAGGTTAAGTGATATCCAATATATATTTAGTTCACAAACTCAGTGAAGAACATTTTTTAAATGTCTTTTTCTTTTTTTTTTTAAATGTTGCACAGACTGTGTACTATTATGTGATGCTACACTAGAATCTCCGGTCAGACAGACATTCTGTGTGTTGACTTTCACATCTTTCTATTTTTTAACATTTTAATTATATACTATACTATGACTTTTTGGACATTTTAATGACATACTATACCACAAATCTTCTGATTGAGGGGATTAAATTAAATTTAGTAATCAAGTAACTCAAGGAATCTCCCAGACCCTAGACATTATATGAGAATTTAGAGCTTATGAGATTATGAGCCTACTATAGTATAGCTTTTAAATTACCTTTTTCCTTATTTTTTTCTAGGTTATGACTTTTTTAATGAGTTCTTTCAATATACTATACAATTACTTTTTATGACATGCTATACTATGACTTTTTTCAACATGCTATACTATGACTTTTTTCGACATGCTATACTATGACTTTTTTCAACATGCTATACTATGACTTTTT